TTTCTGGCCTTATACCCAAGAATCTTGTACTTGGTTAGCCAAACCAATTTGCCTTGGTCAAAGAGAAAGGCACATTCTTTCTTTAGGTTGACATAATGCCAACAAGGATTTTGGGGACATGTATCCTTCACAACTAGTATAATTTTACTCTCTTCTATGGTTGCTGTGAAAAAGCAGACTCCACCTCAGACCTTCCCAGATGTGACTTGTGCATCTAATTTCACTTAGCTAAATGACAGAGTCCATCCATTTTTTTTTTCACACATTCTGTCCGTCCACATAATTTATTGACTCGCTACTATTCCAGGCTTTGTGTTCAATTCTGGGTATACGGAGATGATATATCTTCAGGCTCACAGAGTAGTTGGGAGAAATCGCATTAGACCCCCAAATTATGTTTTGGGGGTCCTATGGTTGGACATGTCTCTGCCAGCTTTGGTTGCTTCACTTGTTCAAGGAGAGAGCTGACTGGACAGTCCTTAAATCCACGGCCACTACTTGCAGATGGGGCTAGTCACAGCTTAGCCCCACTCACAGCCTCGCTCGGTGGACTCGGTGGGATTTCCAAAGCGTTCCCCACCCTTCCTTAGGTTTAAGACCACCCTCCGCCCCTTGGAAGACAATCAAAAGTTCATGGGCAGTATCAGTGAAGTTTACAAGGAGTAAGGAGGAAGGGGAAAAGATGAGAAAGAAAGCACAAGTCCTGCCGAAAGAAGAGAGGGAAATTGAGGATGACTGTTAAGTAAAGGAGAACTCACACATGCACATAATCCTTCAGGTCTAGGAAGCTGAGCTTTATTGAAAAGTTTAAACAAGACCTTTCAAATTTAACAAAGCAGTATTATGCTGTCTTCACACATTAATGTCAAGTATCATTTGTTACCGCAGCTAAAGTAGCTATATCAGAAAAACAGCAATTGTTCAGAGTGCAGTGGTCACTCTGTCCATCTGAGAGTATTGTAAGTGAACAGGGCTGCAAGAGAGGCAGATGGACGTAGGCTTCCTGACACCAGGATGCAAATCAGGAGTCTCAAACATCTGGACACGTACAAAACTAAAAAAAAAATGAATCCCTGAGCTTCAATCTGAAAACATTCATGTTCACGTTCCTTTTGTGTGAGACTGAACTAGGACGTCCCTCCTGGGCAGCCTTGGGCTTCTGCTTCACAGATGTCATCACTGGGCTACAGGAGCTGGTGAAGAGTACACTAATTTCAGGAAAAATAGTGGTGTTGTCTCTCCACAGGACTTTCCTTCTCAAACGAGTGGACTGATGGCCTTCGACTGCTGGCCTGCCACACATTTAAGAGTTCACAGATAGAGATGACTGGGTGCATTGGTCTTCAAGTTATTTCAGATACAGTTGTTCTTGTTGCTGATGCATGTAATTTATTTTTGAAGGCTCCAGCAATTTACTTCACTTGATCAGAGCAATTTCAACATTTGCTAATGAGCAGCTCTCACAGTTAAGTTTGATGGAATCGTTATGACTGACACAGCTGGGGTGTCCCTGCATCTGACTCTGTACCTGCTGCATGAGAATATAAGGTGTCACTTAGATCTCTAAATACAAGGCCATTTAACCGAGAGCCCTTTAAGGCAGAGATGAGAACTGGGTACTTATACACAGAGCTTAGTTCAAGTCAGTGTCAGATTATTTACTGATGAACAGCACAGCTTAAAAATTCCAACTTGTGTCAATGTGTCCTATGTGGTGGGGTAAAAAGGGAATACAACATATTCTAAATTGTAAGGATAAACAGAATGGTCACAATCTTTCACAAGGCAGTGACATTTTAAAAGGGAGGTTGAGACACCAGCTTCATATTCGGCCATGATTAGACCAAAAAAACCTTAAAAAAGCAGATGCAGTTCTAATCCTAACTGGAGAGAACTGGGCATCTTCAATGCTATAAATTTTTTAGATTTAAAAATACAAAAGGATTGGGAAAGAAAAAGTATTTTAGAGAAATTAAGCAAACAAATTTTGACATGACTTGACAGTAAATGTCTCCAGTCTGGCTTTCACTGGTACTTCTTCATTAGATTTATCATTTCATCATAGAGCCGCCACGGGGCATCCAAGCCCCAGATGAAGTCTAGATGCTCCCACTCAGGAATGTGCTTGTGGTACACCAGTTTGGGGATCTGGGTCAGTAAGACAGTGACGTCCTTGTAGTCCGCGAGCCAGTCCTGACCCCCGCTCCAGACAGTGGTCGGTACCATCATGCCTTTCACATTGTAAGCGGGAGGGTAACTCTGTAATAAAAACCCATGGAAAGCTTTGTCTTTGTTGTTTTAATTGACCAAAATACAATTTCCATGAAACACTGATTAGCAAATCTGATCTGAGACTAAAAGACTAAATTTTGAAAATTGTTCTCAGTTTAATTTGAGTTGCTATTACTGGGACCAGAAGCAGCCTAACCCACAACAGAAGAATACTAACCATAACCACTGCTATGCATACATAGGAGTTGTTACCCTGTGCTGGGCATGGTCACACATTTCATCCCCTGGGAGGAAGGCGTCCTCCTCCCAGGCAGTTGATGCCGAGCTGTAGAACCAAACAAAGCGGTTGGGAAGGGACTCTGGAGTCATACCCCTCCACCTCTCCACCTTCTGGGATGTGACACAAGTCACAGAAATTCTCTAAGTCCCAGTTTCCTTCTCTTTAATAGTAATTATAATAATCACATCTATGTCACAGGGATATTGTGGGACTTACATAAGAAAAACATGGGCAGAGTACCTCACACTTTAGAGCCCTTTGCACTCAAAAAATGGTCAAGTTATCTGCATATGGAAAAAACGGCTTAAGCAATGCAATCTGGCCAAGACCCCCCGCCCAGCTACCAGGTATGCTGATCATGACGGATGACAGTGATGGTGGTTGACCCACAGCCAGGGGAAGGACAAAGTCCACAACACAAACTGCAAAGCTTCGCTGTTCTGGGATTGACAGAGGGAAAAGGAGGACCATGTATAGTCAACGCTCCCAAACATCTCCCACAGCACCTGAGCCCAGCCAGAACTCTCATACCTCACACTGGCTTCCTCAATGAGTTTTCAGGGCTCATGTTAATTCCAAGACTTGGAAGACTTTACCTGGTTGTAATGAAAATAATTCTTGGCACTGCTTCCCCAGTCAAAGGCTTGAAACTTATGCGATTTAACACTCTAAAGAGAAAATAATTGGGGGGGGAAATGTTATCTAACACAGAAGTTTGAGATAACACCACAGGTTGGTAGAGCTAGCCATGTCTTCAGAAACCAAGTTTACACCAATACCCCGATTTGTTCTTCATTTCCAAACTGCAATTTAAAATAAAACGGCATTATTTTTCTCTCCTTTCCTAAATGACTCAACTTCTCATGCTATGATTGAAAAGTAGCTATTACATGACACAATAAGCAGCCACACATATATGCTGTGAATGATAACTCGTCAACATTGCAACCATTGGAGAAATTTTATGGTGATGTTTTTGACTGAAATTTGAATCTTAAACTTTTTCAAAGTGCTAAATGTCTTACCTGGGAAAGAAATAGATATTACATAATATATATGGATTAATCTACTTTTATATATATTTATAAATATGTATTTATGTGGAAAAATATTTTTATATTAGTATGTAAATATATTAATTATATATTAACATACTTATATTGATTTATATTAACACTATGTCATGTGTACATTAATATATTTATACATAATTACACATAATCACCATCATATTCCTACATATCCATTTTATTTGACAAGTTGTATTATTTAATATTATAATAATTTTATTTATTTAACACTTTTTCTTGAGTATCAGTACCAGTATAATCACAAAATTGTATTGCACACTAGAACAATTCTAACTAGTTGGGGATACTAGAGCCATGAAATGATACTGTGTATGAAATTTAAGTGTATGCGTATCTAGAATATCATGATCTAAAAATATTATCAAAAAGTCACTTACTTGTATATTTTGAAATAATGCAAATCCATACCTCTTCTATAATCTCAAGTTAAAAATATGTCAAGAATTAAATCCAAAATTAGCCAAATGAATTGGAAACTGTTTAAGCTTTGGCCAGAGGGTGGTGCCTTATAAACAGGAAAAACCTAGACATTCTTTGTCAGAACTGCCTTTTTTTTTTAGTATATATATGTATATAGAATCTATATTCCCTATTGAATATAGTTGCCAGATATTGAATATAGCTTCCTGTGCTATACAGTATGAACCTGTTGTTTATCTACTTTATATATAGTAGTTAGTATTAGCAAATCTCAAACTCCTGATTTATCCCTTCCCACCCCCTTTGCCCCTGGTAACCATAAGTTTGTTTTCTATGTCTGAGTCTGTTTCTGTTTTGTAAATAAGTTCATTTGTCTTTTTTTTTTCTTTCAGATTCCACACATAAATGATATATGGTATTTTTCTTTCTCTTTCTGGCTTACTTCACTTAGAATGACAATCTCCAGGTCCACTCATGTTACTGCAAATGGCATTAGTTTATCTTTTTTATGGCTGAGTAGTATTCCATTGTATAAATATACCACAACTTCTTTATCCAGTCATCCATCGACAGACATTTAGATTGTTTCCATGTCTTGGCTATTGTAAATAGTGCTTCTATGAACATTGGGGTGCATGTATCTTTTTGAATTAAGATTTCCTCTGGATATATGCCCAGGAGTGGGATTGCTGGATCATATGCCAAGTTAATTTTTAGTCTTTTAAGGAATCTCCATCCTGTTTTCTGTAACGGCTGCACCAAACTATATTCTCACCAACAGCGTAGGAGAGTTCTTTTTCTCCACACCCTCTCCAGCATTTATCGTTTGTGGACTTTTGAACGATGGATATTCCAACAGGTGTGAAGTGACACCTCATTGTAGTTTTGATTTGCATTCCTCTGATAATTAGTAATATTTAACATTTTTTCATGTGCCTATTGGTCATTTGTATGTCTTCACGGAGAATTGCTTTTTAGGGCTTCTGCCCATTTTTGGAAGGGGTTGTTTGTTCATTTGTTATCAAGTTATGAGCTGTTTTTATATTCTGGAATTAAGCCCTTGTCAGTCTCATCTTTTGCAAATATTTTCTCCCATTCCGTAGGTTATCTTTTTGTTTTGCTTATGGTTTCCTTTGCTGTGCAAAAGCTTCAATTAAGTAAAATTCTACTGGTTTATGTAGTAAAAGACAATGTGATATTAGATACTACATGGGAAATGTTTAGCATCTGTTTTCACCATTGCCAATGCCAGATATTAATACCTGTAGCATATTTAACAAGCAGAATAAAATATGGATTTACAGCACCTGTTAGTGCATCTGTTCCCTAGCTCTAATTGTCAGTGAAAATATATCAATGAAGCTGTCCTGCCCCTGTAGACAGACCTCAGTTTGTCACTTTCTCACATACATCTTTAGCATTTATAAGTAGCACCAGGAGTGAGTGTAGAATACAAAGGGAAAATGTGCCTAGATTCAGATTAAACTTCAGATTTGACTTTTGTGCTCAGAGTCACAGATTTCAAACTACCCCCCCGAAAGGGCATCTCAGGAGGAGGGAAATATATTATTTTACATCAATATACACAATAGCATACCACTGTCATACATATAACAGAAAGAGAAAACTGTTTATAAATAATATTCAGTGGAGAAAAGTCAGAAAATAAAATTGAACATGCGCTATGGTCCTACTTAAATGATAATCATAAGTGGATAAAGATCAGGTGGAAATGCTTATACTATTAGGAGAGATGGTTTCTAAAGCGACATTTAAAAACAATTTTTACATCCTGTTGGTAATGAAAATGTATAAACAGGTCCAATCTTTCTAAAGTATAACACAGTCTAGAAGTCTGAAAGCTATGCCTACCCTCTGATTGCTAAGTCTGCTTCTGCGATGTACCCTAAGAAAGTAATCTGCCTCATTTGTAAGAATAGATCTCTGATTTAAGAATATTTGCCCCAAGATGCTTCATTATTGCCAAAAAACCTATTATAGTAATAATAATAAATTCAAGCAACAAAAAACTGTCCTCAGTTATAAATATTTTAAAATTTAGTTACTGACCTGAAAAAGTAGTATTGATTATGACAGACACCGCTACTTGCTCCCCCACCCCAATGCCCATTCTTGCCTTCTTCCTTTCAGTAATAAAATCCCTAAAGTGTTTGCTAAGCACATGGCTGCTAGGGTAGCAACCACCTCCCTCCTGTGCTTCTTTCCTGTGGGCTGGGACTGCCATGGAGGTGACCTGGCTTCAACCAGGCAGAAGACACCAGCAACCCAGGGACGGCACTGCTCCAGTGCAGAGGGGACAGTCACACTCCACCACCACAGTCATGTGCCTCTGATGTCTGGACTGAATCCGGAGAAGGAGAACTATTTATTTAGGGGATGTATTTTAGGGTCTTTGATACAGCAACTTAGCCTGTATCTAAGAAATACAATGCTGTTTAATTAAACAAAAAATAAAGCTATTAAAAAGTGTATGTAGCACAATCTTACTTTTGTCACAGAAATAATTATACCAAAAAATGATAAGATTACACTGAAAGAGTTCAGGACATGCCACCACAAAATACATTGCTTTCCATGATGATGACTTTGAGTTAAAGGCGCTAGAAAAACAGCAGATGCAAGGACACTGACCTTCCTTTTTCTTCCTAAAAGCAGAGACAAGGCTCCCATGTGAAAGAAGCCCTCCCTACACCAGAAGGAAGAGACGTTCTTATCACCAGAGTCTGAGACTGGAAGCTGGGAGAAATCTGGACAGAAAGGCCTTGGGAAAATAAGTCTCATTTCTTGTTAAGTCTCCCACAACTGCCACTCTCTGTTCAACCTCGCATATAAGCACTTAGGTCTCGCTACTTCTGTGGGTCTTCATTTTTCTTGTGAGGGCTCCCATGTACACGTAAATTAAATTCATATGCTTTTCTCCTGTTCATCTGCCCCATGTCAGTCCCAGTCAGAAACCCCAAAGGGGTAAAGGAAAAATCTGACCTCCTTGTGATACCCAAATACTAACAATAGTTACCCCTGGTGGTAGACACATGGGTGATATAGTTTCTTCTTTGTATTCACGTATTTTTAAAAACTTCATAATGAATATATATTATGGGTATAATAAAAATTATACTAAACGCCCTTTTACAGTGTTAAAGAGCTTACCTAATGAATATTTGGGTTTTTTTTTTCTTAAGTAGGAGGTTTCAAATCATAGAGAACATCAGATCATATGGAGTACTTACTAAATTACAGATCCCAGGGACATACCCCCAGGAATTCTGACTCTCAACAAGTCTTTGGCAGGCCAAGAATTGGTATTTTATATAAAGCCCTACGTAATTTTGAACAGCACTGTAAAGGTACATCAGGGCTGGCCTTCCTCAAATAGGAGCAAGTTCCTGGCTCTGGGCACAGCCAGCAAGGGAGCCAGAGATTCTGGAGGGTTCTCTGAAACTTGTGAGTTTTATAAAGAGAGTAAGATTTACAAACTAAATTTAAAAACTCAGTGAAGAACTAGGCTTTACAACTATTGAGAAGTGAACGCTAATTACTTAAAAAATAAGATACATTTCAAAACATACTATGGATAAAATGGCCTTCAAAGGCACCCCCAAACTTCACACCTGAATTGTCGCCCAAAGCCTGCCAGCATCCAGGCCCTGCACACCTTCAGCAGAAGCCGCTCCCAGCAGGTCCCAGGGCCACCTGCACCAGCGTGTCCTGCACAGGCAGAGAGGAGCAGCCCTGGCCAACAGCCCAGAGTGGGGAGAATCAAGAAGATCCCATGAACAGCTGCACAGAACAACTATTTTCTTGACAAAGGGATGACACAGGAGGCAGAAGAGCAAATGGCAGGGATGCTTCTGCAGTGACTCTGGCTTCAGAAATGTCTGTGGGGCACATTCCAGTGCGGTTAGGACCTAAAACCGCAAGGTCACCACTGGGCGCAAGAGCAGTGCTCTGAACCTCAGCCTGTGGCCTTTGACCTCAGCCAGCTGCTTGATAAAAGGGCTGGAACGAGAGCAGAAGCCTGGACTGCAGCCAGTCCCCGGGCTCTACGGCCAACCCAACGCCCCAGAGGAACCTGCGAGACAAAAGGCTGAAGGAATGCCAAGCTGTGACGTTCAACGGAGGACGCAGTCCGACAGCCTTGGCCGCCCCTTCCTAAGAGCCTCTGAAAGGCCAGGCCTGGCAGTCATCTGTGCTCTGCTGAGGCCTGGAGAGGCCACGCATGGGTATTTCAGCATCTGCCTTCAGCCTAGGACAATCGTCCTCCACACAAGGGTGCACTGATCCTTGAGGGGCAGAAACTGGGCCTTTCTGGAAGACGTCCATTAGCTAAGAGGGTAACAATGTACATAAACATAGGGGTATTTTGATGACCAGGACTACAAAGGGGAAAAAGTGACTATAAACAGAGATGTGGCTGAGGAGAAAAGCAGGGGCCTGAATGGACATTTGTGGGTGAAAACCTGAAGACGTTGGAAGGTTTCAGGACATCCTTCCAGAGGGAAGTGTCTGCTCTTCAGCGTGTCATGAGCTGCCCGTGTTCCACAGGCCCCTCTTCTAAACCAGACCCTGGCACTGAGTCACGACCACTTAACACTGGGCCTCACAGTCACTAAAAGGGGCTAAAAGCCTCAGGCACAGTCTTGTCTGGTTGGGCAGGGATGCGTCCAGGGGGAGGTGAGCTACGGCACTCCCAACAGACAGGGTTCCTGGGACAACCGAGGAAGGACACTCAAGCGCCAGTGATGTCCCAAATCCGGCTGGGCAGAAGAGTCTACTGGGCGGAATCTTTTGCAAATACAAACTCTCTCCACTCAGCACCAAAAGTGAATGAACTACTGATGCACATGGGTTGGGTGAATCTCAAAATAATTATGCTGAATGAGAGACGCCAGACAAAAGCAAATATATACTGTATGATTATCCTTAGACAAAACTCTGGAAAGTGCCAGTAACTTACAGTGACAAAAGCAGGTAGGTAGGTGCTCGGGGCTGGAAGGGCAGAGGGTGGGGAGGGTGTTAAAGGGGGCCTTTGGGGGTGATGGATATGCTCACTGTCTCAACTGTGGTGATGGGTTTACAGGTGTATGTTATGTCTGGGTCAAAACATACTAAACTGTACACTTCAAATATCGTATGTCACTTATACCTTGATACAGCTGTTTTTTAAAAACTTAAAGTACAAATTCTTAAGTCCAAATGAATTAG